GTGGGTACACATGTACAGATGCAAATGTGTATGCACAGCCAAACAGCTCACACACACAGTACAAATTTAATGTAGTGCATCCCATACAACCATGGTTTTAAAATGTGATATGAACTTTATCCAGGCAACAGAAGTATTAATGGATAGAGCCTTAAGCACCAATGAAAATAATATAAACTACTAAAAAGAAGACAGAAATATTCCCAGAGCACTGACTGAGTCACCTAGATCCTACTCTTCTCCTTAAGGTGTAATGCTTACCATAAGGATCTGCCTTTCTTTCTATATCCCTCCCAGGTGAGCTGAGCTCTTCCATGAATGTCCCACTGTCCCATAACTTAGACAAAGCAAGAGATAAATGGCAAACCCGCCTGAGCTTTCTGTGTATCTCCACCAGTGGGTAACTGCTACTAGCCTTTTAAAGGCATTTGAATATATTTTATAGCATGCACAAATGATACTATTGTGGGCTATGCCATGTAAATACAATTGTTTCATTCATAGTGTTATATGTGCATGTTTCATCAATACAGGTTGAGTATCTCTTATCTAGCCTAGCTGAACCAGTACTCCTGGGCATTTTTAATATTTTCAGATTATGGAATATCTGCATACACATGAGAGATCTCAGAAGTGAAAGCCAAACCTAAATAAGGAATTCATTTATGTTTTTGTATACATTTTATTGATACACACAACCTGAAGATAATTCTAAACAATAGTTTTAGTGCACCTGCATTTTGGTTGTGACCTGTCATGTGAGATTGGGGATGGAATTCTCCATTTGTGGTGTCCTGTCAGACCTCAAAAATATTTGTATTTTACATTTCACATTTTTTGGACAGAGGTGCTCAACCTGCAAAAGTCTCCATCTCTAGACTGCTTTCCGTGGGCTAGGCACTGGTCTAGGAGGTATGTACTTTTCCTGTTCCCAAGTTACACCCAAAGGAACAGACCTGGGGGAGTGAGAGACTTGCCCAAAGTCTTAGGACTGAACATGTGTCCATCATGATGCTGTGCCCCTACTCTTAACCACAAACCCACACTGCACCCGGAGTCCCATTTGCTGATGGACAGGGCAGATCTTTGGGACAGAGCTGAATGACCAGCTGAGACTCCACGTTCACAAAGCAGGTAATGTTTTACCTTCTCCATTCCAGGAGTTACCCGTGATCTGCTCTGTGCTCGGTGAAGGAACAGATGTTTAATAACTTTGCAGCAGCAAAGAGGAGGTTACATAACATGGTTGAGCTATTTTTGAACCTTGGAAAATGCTGACTGCTCTTTTCCAAGTGTCTTCTGTAAAGCCAGAAATATTAAACATGAAGAAAATTCCCCCTTTCCCCTATTTTTTCTCCTAAACCACAGGGGCAGAAATCAGGTTCTTAGTAAGATCATGAGGACATCAACCCTGGCAAGCAGCCCCTTGTACCATGTCAAGCACCACAAACAACAAAGCAGTGCCATAATATCCCAACTGCACAAGGTTCATGTAGAAGATTATAAACAGTGTCCTTGAGGATCACCAAGAAGCACGTCCAGCCAGGCCCAAGGTACTACTCTCACCTGTCAAATCTGGACCCCAGGTGCCCTCATTACCTCCTCATGACACCCTCCTTATCCAGTTTCAATTCTTCTGAGCCTCTTCTGCAGCTATTAGCATCCTCTCTAGTACATAGGAGAACTAGTGAAGGCTATTTGTTTACTAGATGCTTTGCGAAGAAGACGTCTTATCTATCTGAAAATGTAGTTTTTCAAAGCTTGAAGTGCGAAGTCCTGATCTCACTGTACAAGCCCATAGGCTCAACTCAGGCTACTAACATCTGTCCTCTGCCTTCAGCTACCAGATTGAAGGGTCTTTCCTATCACAATATAAATGTCTATCAAAGGAAAATGATTAGATAAAAGAGTGAACACACACATACACACACCATACACACACGCACAACGGAACACAAGATAGGGAGATAGATATTCTGGAATTTTGTTATCTTCATAGGGTGATCTTGAAATCACAGGGAAAGACAGAAAAAAACTTGATAGCTCAGATACCATCAAAGTACATTAAAATTACTGTGAATTGTGTAGATGGTTGTAAATGCATCTTTGCTGAAAGTATAAAAACACGTGCATGGGTTCAGACACATACCAAATTCATTGTGGTATTTTTCCTTCTCACGGAGAAAAGGGGAGAAAGGTGGGACTGGAAAGAGATGTAACCAGGCCTTCTACATTATTATTAATGTGTTCTTTCTTTTAAAATGTTGAAACAAATGTGCCATATTAACATTTATTCTCTGTGAGTACTGCGTAGGGTATTTTATGAGATTCTGTACTACTCCCCTTTTCAATATTGAAAATATAACCGTTCTTGTTACCAGATTTGTCTTTAGACAAATTTCTCCCATCTTTATCAGACTATGTGGTCTCTGGGGAAAGAAATTCTGTCTTAATGCATCTGTGTATTCCAGGGGCTAGCACAAGCCTGCTGGATTAAAGAATGACAGATGAAAGATAGATATAGTGACTTTAATTTTTTAACTGAATTCTTTGGGCTTTCTCCAGCTCCCAGACAAGGGTAGTCTGGTGGGGTCACGTTCTTTCCAAGGTGGAAGAAGGGTGTGTCATTATCCACCCTCACACCTAGGGTGACCACTAACAGCCCTCCATGGATGGAGAGATGTTTCATTAAACACCAAACAGTGGGTGACAACTTACTGCTTTTGATACATTACTTCTCTGGAGCTGAAATGCCATTGACAAAATTGCTGCATTCAATGACATAACTCCTGGAAATAGCACAACAGCCTCTCACAGAAACAGGGACTTTTTTGGTCAAAAATGGAATCCACGGTGGTCCCTGGAAAGGCATCTGAACATCTTGCCAATCATCCCTCTCAAATTCCTTTTTCTATATATACTTCCCTTCACTTGTCCTATAATTGAGTTATGCTTCCATCAAGATTACACATCTCTGGGTCTTCCAGCCGCAGGGCACATCTTATTAATGGAAGCATGAGTTCATTAGCCCAGCCCTTGTCTTCGGGCTGGCAGCAGTCTCGCCTTTGTAAGAGGCTCCCACGTCCTACCCTAAATTATCTGAGTTCCTTCCTCATATTTAAAAATTATTTAGAATGCTGCAACTGGCCATGTAGAAACAGGATTATGAAAGTGTGAAAAAGGAGAGGGCAAGAAGTGTCAAACAGCATGATTTCTTAATTCAAGAATTCATTTTTTTCAGGTGCGTTAATTGTAAAAGTATATTCTGTCCACTCCATCACAAACACACTTTGAAAACTCCAATTCAAAGATATCCTCTAGGGGGTTGGGGATTTAGCTCAGCGGCAAAAGCGCCTGCCTGGCAAGCGCAAGGTCGTGAGTTCGGTTCCCGGTACCGGAGAAAAACAAAAAAAAAACCAAAAAATTAAACAAAGATATCCTCTGAAATGTAGCAAACTCAAAACTCTAGATGGTTCCAGAAACATTTTTTACATGATGTCTTATTTTGCTGGCAGTAAACCAACATGGTCTGCCGACTATAATTTCTTATGATCAAAACCTTCACTCATCACCCTGAAAGTTATTAAAGAGGTACCAGAAGATCAGCACTGTGCCAAGTAGCACTTCTGCTGCATCTCTGCATTTAATATTCACGATGACTCCTAGGACACTGGTTCTCAAAGCATGGTCCCCAACCAGCAATGTCAACATTCATCCAACAACTTGCTAATTATTGAAGCTCATTCCAAATCTACTAATGCCTGAGAAACTCTGACCATGGAGCCCAACAATGTGTTAACAGCCCTCCCAGAAATTCTTGGGCATACTAAAACTTGAAAATGACTGCCTAGAAAGTAGGAGCTATTACCGTAACTATCCAATAAACATAGGAGTCCCGGAAAGTTAAAGGAATTGTCCAACTCCTCTAGAAAATGGATGAAACAAGATTTGAATGTGGACAGGCCTAACTCCAGAGCCCGGTCCTTCATCACAGTGCCACGCTGCTCATTATCTGGGGAATGAAGGACAGATTAAATCAGTGAACATCAGACAAAAACACACGACACGGGTGCCTGAGTGATAATCTAAATTTCAACAGCTGAGACATAATGACAGGCCACAAGGAATGATAACACTTCCCAGAAACATAAAATTTCACTTAGATCTCCACCATGATGAGAGTTGTTTAAAAAAATTATGATATATGCATATGATGGAATATAATGCAGTCTTAAAAGTGAGGTTTGCCAAGATTTCCAATGACCTACAAAAACATTTAGAATATGAGAAGAAATTCAGACACAAAGTGAGAGAGCAGGAGCATCAATATGAGCAGTTTTTCCAAAGCATACCATGTTCCTGAGGAAGTGGGAAGTTGGATGATTTCATGAACTACTGGTATGAATGTAAATGGGTACCATTACTGTAGAGCACAGTTTGGCAAAAGACACTTAAAGTTAAAAATGTACACATCTTATGACCCCAACATCCTACTTTTTAGAATCAAGACTAGAAAAACAATTGCATGTGTGCTTAAAGAGATAAATGTCATGATTATCACTGCAGTTTTATTTCTAATGGACAAAGTCTAAGGAGAAAAAACCCTAAATTCCTATTATTTTGCAGACTGAATAAGTAAAATCATCGTATACCTACGTTAAAGAATGTGACATGTATGCTACAAAGAATTTAGATTCCTTTGTGACAGAAATGGTAAGTCCTAAATAAGGACTTCCAAGCTATGTGGTTGAGTTAAAAAAAAAAAAAAGTAACATGCAGAAAACAATTAAAATACAATGTTACTTATTTTAAAAACAAAATGAGAGGAGAAGAAAGGAATAGAAAAGAGGTGGAAATTAAACAAAATAAAAATCCTGTAAATAGGCACATGACATTCTCCATTTGTGGTGCATATTTCCATCAATAAGTATATGAGCAAAGAGGAATAGCAACAAAACCCTGATCCCACTTTTGGAGAAAAGCAAAGAGCCTTCTCTTACTGGTGCAAAGTGTGAAGGGGGGCCTCTGGCTTCTCCGCCTGCCCATAGCAGCTGGCCTTGGCCTCGGGGATGTAGGAGTACTTCTCCAACATGGAAGATGCGGCAGTTGTTAGGATGCCAAGGCCATCCCGCACTCTCGCCTCCAAGCTGTAGTCCCAGTCATCGTAGGAGACTGAAATGAGGCCTGATGGAAACTCTTTGGGGATAAGCTCCGTGTTGCCAGAGACCAAGCTGGGGACAATCCAGAAGAAATCATACCCAGTGAGACCAAGGGAGCGAGCCTCACTCAGAATGAGGACAGCCTCATCTTTGGAGCAGTAAAGCAAGATGACAGAAGAGTGGATCTTCTTCAGCTGGACTTGCGTCTTTGCATCCTCAAAGGAGGTGTCTAGTGTGATCACGTTCTGCATGTCCCAGCCCACAAAGCTGTTGTCCACTGTCGTCTTGATGAAGCTGATGAAGTCCCTGTAGCCAGGAAAGATGGTGGTCACCAGGGAGAAGACATGCCAGTCATAATCCTGCATAATCTTCAGCATGACTGTGGCTTGTTGCTGGATGGATGCTCCAAACTGGAAGAAGGTAGATGTTGGATCCTGCCAACAGGCAAAAAGAAAGGAAAATAGTATGAGGCAAAAATAGGATATATAAAACTGTCTTTATGGGCTTAAAGAAGCTCCTTCCTAGAAGCAGGGGAAAGACACATGTACTCATTCGCAAACATTCCCGAGCACCTGTTGTATTCCAGGCTCTGGAACAGATACTGAAAATACAAAGCTGAGAGAAGACCCTGTGCTCAGGAGCCCAGAATCCATACAGGGAAATACATCTGTTATTTCTACTCACCTAATACCTATTCTTCTCCTTTTCCTCTTCTATATCCTCCTATCTTCAACCCTTTGAGTCCATCTGGTTCCGGTAGAACAAACTCTATCTGGTCCCAGACTCATGTTGAGAAAATAAAGCCAACAGAAACAAAATGGTAGGAGAAAATACAGACAGATGCCCCAAGACATATTTGGAGTCCCTGGAATCTGCCATGGCTGAAGCTATTTACCCTGGGTCTTTTAATTACATGAACCAATAAGTTTCTGTGTTCATGGAAGGCAATGTAAATAGCATTTCTGCAATTTAAATGTAAAAGGCTGTATGTAATACAGACTATCATAAGCACTATGTGAAGATCTATCTTTTCAATCAACAAACACTTGTTAAACACCTTACGATGGGTCAACACTGCTTTACACTTTGGGAATCATAATACTGTACATAAAGCAGACACAGATGAGTTTGTGTTTTCAGAGAGCTGATGGGAAGTTAAGAGAGAGTAGCTTCCAAGATCTAGGGACAGAAAGAAGCCTGTAGGAATGTGGAAGGAGTATTCAGGGGAGGAAGATGGGCATCAGTAACCACGTCATTCAGAGGTGTCTTGAGGCACACTTTGACTACTCTAGGATAAAGGCATTTGAGCTCATGAAGTAGAAAGGATGAAGTGATACTAAAGATCTTAGCACGATCACATAGACCCTCAGGAACAGGACTCAGAGTTAGATTCCATTCCGGGTGTAAGGAGCAACCACTGCCTGCTCTTCACACAAAAACTGGTGTGTTAACTCCTATTGTGCTAAAGCACATCTCTTAATCTCCACAAACTCATAACCAGGACGGATTTTCACTAGGAAAAGGCTCATGGTGATGAAGTCACACAATTTACAAATCACCTCCACACACCTTGATGCACCACAACCTGAGAATGATCCTGAGAATCTGGTATTGTTTGCAGGAAGAATGAGTCTCTGATGGGTCACAGAGTCAGTTAACTTTGGACCCAAGACCCTATGTCCAGTCCCTGCCCTACACTCGGACACGGCCTTCCTGTGATCATTTAAGACCAATACATAGTGGATACACACCCCATGCTGATGGGTTGACATGGTGCAAAATTGCCAGCTAAACAAAAGATACACCTCTGCGTTGCAGCAAAACAGGATAAATGTCAAGATCCATTTTTATCCTGGAGACCAAAAGAATTTTTAAAGGGTTCTTAATTTTGCAGCCATGTTTTTATTTTCAATTCCATATTTACTATATGTAAATAACATCACCTCAATAGTATAATTTAAGGAGATTCCATTTGCATGTGTGCTTATGTGTGTGTGTGTGTTTGTAGGGTAGATGATACCATTCATCTTTTGTAACAGTGTAGCACTTTGTAGTTGTGTATGTCAATTCTTTCAACAAGTCCATCTCATCTTCCCTGTGGACATTCACAAAAGTTTTATCTAAATGGGCCAAAAGCTATAGTTCTTTGAATACTACTCTTTTCTGAAAAACTTGGATTTGGAGAATAATTTGAGTGCAGTGTGGCCTGAAGTCAGAGAGAAGAAATGGAAGTAAATAAATGCCTTCTAGGCTCTTTGTGACATTACAGTTCCATAAATTTCACCTAATTAAGTCAATTAAAATGAGTTACAGATTTAAAGACTTTGGATAATTTTCTTTTTCCTTACAATAGCTTTTAGAGAAATCCAATATTCTTGCACTGACTGATCATTTCAAACCATATCTCAACAAGACCATAGCTCAAGGGCAGAGATTTTGTTGTCTTCATCCTTCTGGCCCTGAACGCCTGGCAGAAGTCTTGGCCCATGACACATCAAGAAGTGGATGACGAGAGAATACACCAACGGGTGAACATGTGAGTCAAATCTAACAGGAATGAACTTGCTTGAAGCAGCACATGAAGGGACGGAATTCCGGATCTGAGATTGTATTTTTTTTTCATTTTTTCTTTTATAATTAGTGTATATTTGTGATACACAGCACATTCATCTCAGAGAAGTGATACATATACCCATTTCCTCTTGATCACTTTTATTTCCTCTCCCCTCCCTCCTGTTTCCCCATCTCCACATCCCCTTTTCATCTCCACATAATCTACTTCTCTGCTTCCTATAATCTTTTATTTTCCCTTTAAGTTACTTATAGTCTGGGTTTCTCATATAACCTTCTGTATCTGATTTATTTTACTTAGCATTATGATCTCAAGGCATGTCCATTTTCCTGCAAATAGCTAGAATTTATGCTTCTTTGTGGCTGAGTAGTATTCTGTTGTATGTATATACCTCTTTTCCTTTACCTTTTCATCTGTTGATCATCATATAGGCTGCTTCCTACATGTAGCTATTATGTGGTGTGCAGCTACAAACATGGGTATGCAAGTACCACTGTAATATGCTATCTTTAACTCTTTTGGGAAGGTAGCCAAAGAGGTATAGCTGAGTGAAATGGAATTTTTGGTTTTAGTTTTCTGAGTAATCTCATACAGATTTCCAGTGGTTGCACTGGAAAGAGAGAGAATCACAGAGACAGAAGTTTTCAGTTCAGAGTCACATGAGCACTAAATTCTCACTAACAGTGTGAAGGGCTACTTTTTCCCCACAACCTCACCAGCAACTGTAGTTTCTTGAGTTCTTGATGAAGTTTTCTGTGTTCTTGATGAGGTTTCATTTTGTTAGTATCTTGAATGTAACATTAAAAGAGAAAAATTCATTCAACATCATCATTTACCTACCTAGAGAAATCACTCCTCCACCCACAGCTCAATATATATTCTAATATGTCATTAGAATAAGGAGGAGAATATAGAAGACCCATAAGCCCAGCAGTTGTTCACAGAACCTCATTAAGTATCAAAAAGGTAACATAACGAACTCATCAACAAAAGACAGCAGAGAAGTAAACTGTAAAAGTAGTTATGGTCATCAGCTTTGCATACTGTCTGATGCCTCTTGGGTTAGGGCTTAAATGTTCCAAACTTAATTACAGAGGAAATGTAATAATTCCCATAGAACTGTGATGCCTCTGAGGAAACCAATATCCTGAGCTACATTAAAACTGCAAATGCATAGGACTCAGCATTTTTCTGGACTGAATACATGAGGAATGGAGAAAGTTCTCAGCAACACACACACTGCAGACACAGTTGGGGCTCAATGAAAAGGGTGGAAATTTTTAGAAAATCCACATGTACACTTCCTTGAGGTCACTGCACTGGCGGGAGTGGAGGTCAGACATGCCAGATGCGGATGAAATTTGGGATTTTCCAAGACCTTAGTTCCACGTATGCTGGGTTGGACATTGCCTGTGTACCCAGGAGATGCTTCATGCACAGTGCTGAGCTGTAAGCAAACACAAGTGTTGTACGGTTCTCCATGTACAGAGGAGGGTGTGATTATACTGTGAACCTCATAAAGAGAAAGAGAATCACAGGGACAGAAGTTTCCAGTCCTGAGTCATCTTAGCACAGGCTCTCTCTGAAAGAGAATATGCAAAGCCCTGGATTTGTGCCCTTCCCATCCCTCCGTCTTGGGATACCTTCACCCATGCTGAACATCCCTCATGTCCCTTCTTTCCAGCCTCTCCCCAGGATGGATCACAGTGCACCTTGTAGGGTCAGATCACCCCATTCCAACCTGAACTGTATGGGATTGAGAAAAGTCACTCAATTTCTGCAAGCCGTAGTCTCTTCATTTGCAAAATACGTGTATCTATGCTAATAATTAACATGGTTAACATGCAGAAGTACATGCTCAATGAGTGTCATGTTGCTCGCTATTTCCTAGGGACTGTCTCATCTAAGGCCATCCCAATCACTTTACTAAGTGCACACTAGTGTTACATTCCATTTACAAATGAAGAAACAGACTGAGAAGTGCAGTGACATTTCCAGAGTCACACTGGTGGCGAATTAGGTTTGTCTGCTTAGGAAACCCAAACATCTCATTCCTGCACTACAGTGTTGCCAATAATGGCACCTTCTCTCCACGTTGTAAGGAATCAGTGATCTCCAGGGCAATGCTTTATCCATCACACATCAAATGCTCAGCAAATACACGTCATGGTCATCTTCCCCACGAGTCAGGACCCCTTTATATTTCACATTAGGTTATTACGCTATTTCTATCCCAAGTGCTCTAGACTTGGAACAACTCAAAAACTCACTTTGTGGCTACCTCATTGAAATTCCTAAAGCACTGTTCTAGCCATGCCACTACATTTGTCCACAATCATCAATGGCTTTATAGTCTACCACATTATGTTCAGACTCCCTAGTCTACTCCTTTATATGCACCAGAAAGCTTTACAGTTGAAATACAGTCTCCAGGGTATATTGGACCCAAGTTCTAGTTCTGTCTCTGCGCTAACTAGTGGGTAAGCATTTAACCTTTTTGAATTTGTATTTCTTCACCTATAAAATGGGCATAAGAACAACATGGGGTTGCTATGAGAACAAGATGAAGTGGATATAGTAAGCTCATCTATCCACACCTAGTTCCAACAGCTCGAGTGCTCCTGTTCATACCCTTAGTCTTGCAGACTGCATGACACTGCCAGAAACCTAAGGGGATGTTAAGGTTTGGGTCTGATATTTCCCCCAAAAAGCTCATGTGTTCAGAGGTGGAGCTTTTGGAAGTGACTACATCATGAAGAATCTAACTTCATTGGTGGCGTTCTCCATTGATGGGTTTATAACTTAATGGTATCATTGGGAGGGGAGTGAAGATTTAGAAGGTAGGGCCTACTGGAAGGGAGT